CACATATTAGCTAAATCTTATATTTTTTATCAGCAATAAAATTAATGTGAGTGCAAGACTACAAGGGTCTTCAAACAAGTTTTCAATATTGTGAAAAAAGAAGAAAATTATTTACGTTAGGTCAAATCTATAGACATGAGCTAAGTCGAACCAGTTAAGGAAAATATAAGAGTTTAGTTGCATACCTACGACTTGAAACTAACATCATCACAGTATTAACTACACTACATAGGTCATTGGCATAGTATATGATTTTAACAAAGGATGGCAACTGTTCTTGATCATTGAAGGGTTCTATATGGATCCTTGCTTAAGGGGTGGCGTTGGGAGGAATTTTTTTTTTTTTTCGAGACGAGACAATGAGTATTTTCTCCTAGTAAAATTTTGAGCAGGACTAATGTTGCTCACAAGTTTTCGCAAGATCTCATTCCTCATGAAATATTAAAAAAATAAAGTGAAAAAAAAAAATAAATGCAACACTATTTAAATATTTAACTTATAGTCATAGGCATATCTATTTCATTTTTAATTTTAATTTTATACTAAAATCCAATTATTTAAATCAAACCAAATCTAGTATTTTTTTATTTTAATCCAACTATTTAAAATATTTTTTAAATAATAAAATAAAATAGTTAAATTAATTTTATAATATAAATTAGAGGGAGCGAGGAATCCCTTTAGGTAACGAGGACAGGGGTAAATTCTATTTTTTCATAAAAAATCTACACAAAAATCTTTATCTTTGTGATTCATAGGAATATGATGGAGAGCACTTTTTAACTTTGTAGAACTCGTTGTTATCCATAATTTTAACTAATGCTTTTAATTTCTAATAATTCTTTTCTTGATTTTAGATAATAGCATCTTTCTCATGATTTTAGAAATTGGTGGATGTTGCATGAGTATATCAAATATATGTTAACCATACATAACTCGTTCATGGGACTCAGCTTGTTTTTTTAGTTTCGGGAATTGAAATGCTCTCTTTATGTGGTGCAAATGATAAAAAATAAATTTGACTGTATAACATTCTATAAATTTATTTGATGAGATATTGGAAGAAATTAAAATAAAGTTGAGAATAAATGGTATGAGTTTCAAAATGATAAATTAATAAAAGAGTGATAAGACATAAATTACAACACCATCTATTGTATTTATTTCCTTTGATCATAGAAAGACGTTTTGTTTTAAACTCTATTGAACGCCAATTTAGAACTAGGTCATAGAAAAGAATATTAGAGGAATGAAAAGTAAGAAAAGTAATTCATCTATAGTCTTGCATTGTTGATAATGCTTGACTTGGAAAGTTAGCTTACTCTAATCCGAATTCATCTTAATTTTATCTTTTTTTGAACATGTTTACAAGAATTATATTCGAACTGTTTTTTGAAAAAAAAAAAAAGAATGCACTTTACCATAATTCTATTGTCATTGGACCCAAAGGCTTAAGTGCTTGAATTCATCCTAATTGGGAACCAACAAAAACAAAAATTTTATAATTTGTTTGGTTTGAAATGATAGGATAAATCTATTTATTTAGATGGAAATAAAAATTGGACGGGCGTGGTTTAACTAAAGTTATTGTTATTAAAAGCTTTGTTAAAATTATTAATTTTGATTGTAATTTTATTAATTTATAAATTTTAAAATAATTAATTATGATATTTAAAAATATATATTTAAAAATTAATTTTAATTTATTAAATAATAAATATTAATTATTTTGTCTAGAGAAAGATTCCTTTTCCCTTTTCTTTATTCTCTTTATTCCATATATATTAAAAATATTAAGTACTAGTTTTATTCAAACTGAAAAGTATAAATAAAATATATTTCAATAAAAAAATTTAAAGGTTCATTTTAATTATCACTTAAAAATTGGTGGATAAATATACTTTTGCCTAAAAATATTTGTCTTCGGGTTTTTTTCTTTTGCCCTTCATCTATCTTAGGTTATTTTATCAGTATTAATTAATTAATTTAAGAATAGCAAGGGTATTACAGTAAATTGATCTAATCCCGCGTCAAACTTGGCGTGGCGACTGTACCCAGGCACAAAGAAGGTGTGACGAAATTTAAGTCCTCCGCATTGGAAAGTGGAAACCCTCAAGAACTTTCCTCTCCTCTTTCATTTCCTTTCTCTCCATTACTAAAGCCGCCTCCTCCTCCTCCTCCCCGCAGGAGCAGCACCAACATCATCATGGGTTCCAACCCAATCCCTGACGAAGAAGATATCAACGGTGCTAGTCGAAGCTATGCCATTAGCGGCAAGATTATGCTCAGTGCCATAGTGGTTTTGTTTTTTGTTGTGATTCTCATGTTTTCTCTCCACCTCTACGCCCGCTGGTTCCTCCTCCGTGCTCGCAGCCGTCAATCCCGTCGCCGCCCTCGCAGTGCGTCCGTACATCGGCAATCCGTCTCCCTTCATATAGACACGGGTAATAACCTCGCCACCACTGCCACGCGCGGCCTCGACGTTCGTATCCTGAAGTCCCTCCCGGTTTTTACCTACTCCTCCAAAACCCATCCACATTCTACTCCGGACTGCGCCGTTTGCTTGTCGGAGTTCGAAGAAAACGAATCGGGTCGGATTCTGCCCAAGTGTAATCACAGTTTCCACATAGAGTGTATAGACATGTGGTTCCACTCTCACTCCACTTGCCCTCTCTGCCGGACTCCCGTTGAGGAATACGGTCCGGCGCCGGCGAACCCCGGCGACGCTGTTTTGACCGTACCAGAACCGGTATCGGATCCGGTATCCGGTCCAGCAATGTGCGCCACGTGTCAGCATGAGAATGAACAGGCAGGTCCGTCGTCGCGCAGGTCAAGGAGTAAGCTTTCGGTAGAGGTTCCAAGAAGAAGCTGCGAGGGATTTGAGGGCGAGTCGAGTGCGTGTGACTCGGCGACGAGTCAGTCCTTCAGGTCGCCCATGAGTCGGATGTTGTCGTTCACGAGAATCCTGAGCAGAGTTTCGCCAAGAACGGTGGCGGTGGCCGAGTCCGATATAGAGCGCGGCGGCGAGGCTCAGGGTTGAGGTTTTGACTCAGCGAGACAGAATACCCACGTAGCAGTTATCGGATTATGCATCGGAGTTTGGAGCAGTAACAGGACATTCATTCGATGCGGCTGCTTCACGACTCACGAGATTACCGGGAGACCATTGAATGTACTCGTGGCAGTCTGGAGCCATTGGTAGGCGGGCATGTTTGACCCGTTGCATAGACCTTTTTTTTTTTAATTTAGCACTCTGTTTTGCATTTTCACTTTAGTGGAATTGCAAAAATTTAGTGAAATTTTTTATTTTTTAAGAGGAAGAACGTTTGAGTTTTTACTGAAATATTTGGATGGTGTGTTGTAAAATTGGAGGAACTTTACAAAAATTTACAATATAATTTTTTAATTAATGTTTCAGTATTTAAAATTACAGTAAATTTTGATTAATCTAGAATAAAATTAGATAAGATTTTATAAGAGATAAAATTTTTTAATGATTATTTTGTTATTTAAGAGACTCAAATTTGGTATGGCGGTTATCTTTTTCTCAAAGAATTTCTCGTATTAAACTTGACAGTGTGACTAGTGCGGTATTTGGGTCTTATTTAGTCTTTGAAAAAAAGAAATTAAGAGACTCAAATTCAAGTAAAGAAAATTAAATTACTTTTACGTTTTTTTTTTACAAGATAACAATTAATTTAATTAAGAATTAAAAGTTAGTACCTTATTTTTTGACAAAATTTAACCACTGATTGGGGTGTATTCCAACAGTAACCTTTTGGGTTGCAGTGGTCATTAATGCACCAGAGGAATGCTACTTTTACTTGAATCAATAAATAATTAATACCATAATTTATAAATTTTGTTAATACTTTGTAAATTTTTTCATTTTTTTATT